GGCTCTTTCACCAGACCATGGATCCCACAGCAGTGGGGACCTTACCTAGTCCTCTGAGTGTCTCAGTGCCCAGCACAAGGCCTGAAACAAGACAGTGCTCACAACATGGTTTTTTGAGATTTGGGAGAAGCTTGATCCAAAATTCAAGAGGTCACTGAGGCCAACATGACTTCTCTTTTTTTGTTGCTTTCCCCAGGAAAAGGATCTTTGGCCTTGGGCCATCATCTCAGTACCTTTTGATGAAAGGATAGTCGGACCTATAGCACAAAATGTAAGATGAACACCTCCCTCCACATCTTCCCCCTGGGGACAACTCTGTCCTTCTGTCCCCTAGAATCCTTTTCAGCTTACCCATTAGTACCCATCACTCTAAAATAATCCTTACTGCACAGGAAGGGCAGTAACCACCCTCCCTCACTTGCCAGGAGGATCACATAGCAGTGACGGTCATCTTTGGCCTTTGACATCCTTGGTCCAGTGCAGACCTGGAAATCCCAGCAGTGCAGGGCATTGATTGGTGTTTGAGGAACCAATGAACAGTCACAGCTTTGAGCTAAGTACTTTTTAAAAATTTTTTTATTTTTCACAAAGAGCTTCAGAATGTAAGCAACTAATCACTTCCCCACCCCAAAACAGCACAGCAAGACAGACAGTGTAGGGTATCGGGACATCAGCTCTTTCTTGTTTTCTAGAGTTCCTACAGCAGGCCTTAGTGAACCCAAAGCAAGGCCCGTGTGGTGTGTCTTCTGCAAACTGCAGGTGCTCAGTCCACACACAGCCGCACCAGCACTGCTGATGTTTGGGGCATCTGTCCAGAATATCCCACCTTGGATCTCAAGAGGAATCCAGACGGGGTTTATTCTCCAGAGGCGGAGAGCAGGCACCAGGGCCAGAGGTGAAGGCCTCTGTACTGAAGGCCTCATGTGACACCACAAAGGTCAAATGTCTTGGCATAAGACTAGAAAGGAAGCAGGGTGAATGATGAGGTCAAGGAACCTCTGGATTGCTGAAGAGATGGCTTTTTGAAAGAAGTGCTAGATCTGCAGACCTGAGCAGGGAGAAGCAAAAGCTGGACTAACAGAGCCAGAGCATCATTCACAGTAGAACAATCCTGATCGAAAATTCTAGTATTTAAGTCCAATGTCTTTTAAGAGTGAGAATTCTTAAACCCGTCAGACCAGCTGACAGGGAAAAGGAAAAAAAAAAAACTTCTTTATTAAACAAAACAACACAAAAATCAACTCAATCTTTCTCCACTCCCAGCGCCCACAGACACCTCCCACCCCATTAAAAAATTTATTACAGACACGCACACTTGCACACACTCAAATATGCAAACAAAATACAAAAACCCAAGGAAATCTTATGAATGACCTAAGGATTTTTCACCAGCTTCCCAGATGCCCTTTCTTTTTTTCTAGAAGGGAAGGCAAGAGTCAAGCTCAGACAGCTATGTCTAAGCAGTAAAAATTGTAGTTGGAGGGCCGGCCCGGTGGCGCACTGCAATAGTGCGCCGCTTGGGAGTGTGGTGGCGCTCCCGCCGAGGGTTCGGATCCCACATACAGACCGGCTCCCACTCACTGGCTGAGCGAGGTGTGGGCGCGGCGACGAGGGTTGCGATCCCGTTGCCAGTCCCGGTCCGGTGCGGGGGCAACACTGAGGGTTGCGATCCATTGCCGGACACGGAAAAAGACAAAAAGGAAAAAAAAAAAA